ACACCGATCTGACGCATATCGCGCAAGGTGTGCCGGAGTTTGTTCGAAATTTCAGTTGTCGGTTGGCACGTATTTTAAAGAAATATTAAATGTTTACTGAATAATGACAAATGAAACTCAGAAAACTTGTAAGAACAAACTGGACCCAAATTGCGCAAATTTGCAATAAGTTTACGCTACTAGTGTCTGGTTCGGAAGGCGTTCTACACGTGATTTTATCGCGTTCAATGACGTTCTATTTTCGAACTCGTGGAAACCGGAAATTACGCAAGTACTTTCGAACTTCAAAAACAAATTTGATTATCGTTATTGTGTGTTAGTTTCTGTTGTTTCGAAGATTGGATTATTAATGATATTAATATTTCGCTCACTGAACAATATTTCATTAAAATACGTGATTAAAAAGCAACTTAAATTGGGAAAAATATTATCAAGTTCCGTGTATAAACACTAATGTGAAGAGGCGGCGGAGCGCCTTTTAGCCAAAATCGGCTAGTAAGGCGTCATATGACTCGGACACAGGTCTGTGCTGGGACAGCGCTTCCGGTGACGACACAACGTCCTTCTATCAGCTCCAAACTCGGGGAGGTATTCATATTGGCTGTCCGAGTAGACGGATTCTAAATAAAAAAATCAGTACAATCAATAATACCACCTAGTCTCTGGGTAGGATTTTATTATTTGTCTGAGCTGCAAATGACAGTTGCATATGTTTGTTTATTTGCACGACTAGGTCAAGGAAGAACTTGAAAAAAAAACAGCTACCATATAGGTTATCCAGACAGTAAAGATTTTAGTCGGTACATTGTCTTCTAAAAATGCGCAGACCAATTTCTGGAATACTTGTTGGGCTTTTAGTTATCACCTCGCCGAATCAATGCAATCCAATTTCGTCTGAGAGATCGGATTTTTTTGCTGGAGGAAAGTGTTATGTAAGGCATGAATTAAATATAAAATATCACAAAAAGATTTAAATGTATTTTGATTTAGAAATTCAATTCAATAGCGCCCTCCACTGTGTCTGGTTAAATGTGGTTTTGGCATTTGGTGGCGTTTTTGAATCCACAATGCTTTGCATAAGAGTTGTGTAAATTCATTTATATGTTTATGGCCATATTATTAATTTATTTACAAGTACTATAAATAAATGCAAAATATATTATCCCATACATTTGTGTAATTATTTGGTAATAGTTAAACCTGGGAAACATAGGGGAATTTGTCCACCCTTGGCTCTTAGTTGAAATCGTGACAAATTACGCCCGAATATGTGAGATATTTCGTCTGATTCCTCTTTCTTGATTACCAGGAAAGAATAGCAAGGAAAGTTGCAATACCGGTTATCCATTTTATATGGTCTATAGGCCCAAATCCAGAAATAATACGCTTTTATTCAAACCCACTCCAGACGCCGAACACCACAGCTATCCGGGTACTTTAATACGCCCTCTAGTGGTGTGATGGCTAAAACCTGTAACTGGAAAGTCAGGAAACAAAAGCCACCGGCAGGGCGCAACTGTCCCGCTGGCAATCAAATGTGATTCTTGCAATAGATCGAATTCGTTCAAATACACCTGGTGCAAGTTCCTAGCATAGCCATGTCATCTCCGGTTACGATACTCAGTGTTCAAGGTCTGAAGTGCGTTACTCTGATTGAGAAGATACCTTTTAATTATTTCAACAGAGAAGGTGAGTGAATAACATGTTTTATATCATTGGTGAACCGGTTGACGATGTGACCTTCTATTCCCAGTAGTCGCCTTGGACCAATTCCAGAAGACGTACCTACACTGGAATTCGAACTGTTGACGTCACAAAATACACAACCTTCAATCGGGGTCGTTTGCTTGCTAAATAGAACAATCATTGAGTCAGCGAGGTCACGCCAGAGGGCCACGCACTTCGCTGCAACACGGTAGAGTGGTTGAAACTAGGTCATTTCATGACACGCGATGAAGACATCATTAAACACACAATAACAGGGGGAAGTGACACACACGGGAATTGAAAATCCACCCGATACAAACGCCGAGGAATCAAATCACACTTGATTTAAACTAAACTCTCAACAATAACTTCTAAAAAATTATGTTGGGAATTAGTTAAATGAGAATTGTTTACATAAAAATAATCCCCAAATATTTGTCAGGGAATTATTTTCCAAATTTAACAACTTGTAATGTTGGTAATTAATTAAAAGAGTTGTTTACACCAAAATAAGTCTCAAATATTTGTTGAGATATTTATTTTCTCAACTTCAATTGGTGGGAATTAGTTGAATGAGAATTGTTGACATATAAATAGTTCTCAAATATTTGTCACAGTATTCATTTTCTCAATTTACCAACTTGCAATAGTAAAAATTAAAAGAGTTGTTTACACCAACATAGGTCTCAAATATTTGTTGAGACATTTATTCTCACAATTTAATAACTTTTAATATTGGGAATTAGTTAAATGAGAATTGTTTACATCATAATAAATCTCAAATATTTTTCAGGGTATTTATTTTCTCAATTTAGCAACTTGGAATGGTAAAAATTAATTAAAAGAGTTGTTTACACCAAAATAAGTCCCAAATATTTGTTGAGGAGGCATTTGTTCCCTCAATTTAATAACTTCGAATGTTGGGAATTAGTTAAATGAGAATTGTTTACATGAAAATAAATCTCAAATATTTGTAAGGGTTTTTATTTTCTCAATTTAGCAACTTGGAATGGTAACTATTATTTAAGAGCTATTTACACCAAAACAAGTCTCAAATATTGGTTGAGACATTTATTCTTTCAATTTAACAATTTATAATTTTGAGAATTAGTTAAGAGAATTGTTTACATGAAAACACATCTCTAATATTTGTCAGGGTATTTATTTTCTCAATTTATCAACTTGGAATGGTAAAAATTAATTTAAAATGGGTTGTTTACACCAAAATAAGTCTAAAATATTTGTTGAGACATTTATTCTCTCAATTTAGTAATTTCCAATATTGGGAATTAGTTAAATGAGAATTGTTTACATGAAAATAAATCGCTAATATTTGTCAGAGTATTTATTTTCTCAATTTAGCAACTTGCAATGGTAAAAATTAATTAAAAGAGTTGTTTACACCAAAATAAGTCTCAAATATTTGTTAGACTTGTAGTGGATCTATCATAGTCTTGTGAATTAATTTAATAAATATTCATGAGCACAAAAACCACCACATCATGAAATACATAAAGTGTAGGTATGTCTTCTGGAATTATGCCTTATGGAAAATCTATTGCACATACACATAGACAAAAAAACCTAAAACACATTTATGGGGTATTTGAAACCACACTATCGATCATTTGTAAGGCCATCAATGATTGGCTCATGGGTTTGATACATAATTGCATATACTACATGTTTTTGTTACCAAATGACCTTAATCTGACATAACATGTGATAGATATGGGTGAACTATACAATCAGTACATATAGAATAGAATAGAATAGAATAGAATAGAATAGAATAGAATAGAATACTGCTTTATTACAACGTTAAAGAAAATTTGACAATTCTCTTTTGGTTTCTACACATGTAGAAGGTAATAAAGCTAAAAACAAAACAAAAAGTGTGACAAACAAACAAGAAAAAGTAAACTACTGTGTTAATATTATTTGCTCTCTTATTGTATACGCTGTTTTGATATATCTAATTAACCCCGATAATTGTTGTCTAGTATAGGCATTCAGATAGAAACAGATAGAAATTTGTCATTGTTTTTGATACCGTTGATATTATCAAACAAGGAATATAATTCCTGTCTTTCAGATTCATAAAGTACACATTCTCTGATAAAGTGCACTTCATCCTCTATGACTTGGCACTTGATGCATT